CCCTAGGGCCCTCTGCTTCTAGCCTCAAACGCACCACGGGCGCCATGTCCAAGCTCTGTCCTGAGCAGGGCCCTAGGACACCATACTCCCATATATGTGTACACACCCGTCGGCTGTGCCCTTGCAGGCTCCCATAGCCACGAAGGCAGAAGCTCTCAGCACAGGGACTGTGTCCTATCAAGGGTGGATGCTCCGTATTAGCCTGAGGGGCTAATACGTCCATCCGCTAGCCCATCCGATGCCCTTGTCCAAGCTAGAAAATGGCATTCCTTCCTCAGGGAGGACTCAGTATAGCACTAGAGCACAGCTGAGCACGAAGGGCACGGGCTGAATTCCTCCTACCTTGGTTTGGTTGTCCTTGTGCAGTGCACAACCTACACAGCTGTTTACGGCAACCCTGGGCACATGCCTTTGTTTGGTGTGTTGTGGGAACCTAGCCAGCTTTGAGTGGACCGGGAGAAACCTGGTGGAGGCCATGGGATGAACGCCTATGCTCTCCCTCCCTACAGATGCCCCACGCCTGCCCATGTTCACTGCCCAGTTGGAGCCCGATGCTGCCGGAGATGGGGTTAGACGTCAAGGGCTCCTCTTGTGCCGCGTGGACAGCAACCCCCCAGCCCAGCTGCGGCTGCTCCACGGGGACCATGTTGTGGCCTCTTCCCTGCCACTGGGCTGTGGGGGCTGCTCCCGGCGCCTAAGGGTCACCAGAGCCCCCAACCTGCTGCGTGTGGAGATTGGTGACCCGGTGCTGGAGGATGAGGGTGTGTACCTGTGTGAGGCCAGCAATGCCCTGGGCAACGCCTCCGCCTCTGCAACCTTTGATGCCCAGGGTGAGTCAGCGCGGGGAGCGGGCGGCTCAGGGTCAGGGGCTGGTACGCGGGACCCCGCAGCCGCCCCCACCCCCCTGCTCCAAGGCGGGTCTATCGGGCGAAACCACCTCCGTTGGGCAGTGGGAGTCGCTTTTCTCCCCTGCCCCGTGGGCACCCCGGGGCATCGCCTTCCTGCCTGCTCCATCCAGGCTGGGAGGCTGGGCCCCCACCCCAGGGGGGAGGCGGTCAAGGTGAGGCCTGTCTCAGGTGGCCTGTGCTGTCTGCTCTCCAGCCACCGTCCTGGTCATCACCCCGTCGCACACGCTGCAGGAGGGCACCGGGGCCAACCTGACTTGCAGTGTGAGCCGGGGAGCCCGCGGCCCTGCCAACTTCTCCTGGTTCCGGAATGGGGCGCTGTGGGCCCAGGGCCCCCTGGAGACCGTGACGCTGCTGCCCGTGGCCAGATCGGATGCTGCCCTCTATGCCTGCCGCATCCTCGCCGAGGCCGGGGCCCAGCTCTCCGCCCCGGTGGTCCTGAGTGTGCTCTGTGGGTGATGGGCCAGGGCAGGGTTGGGTACTGGGAGGGTGAGGGGGTGCTCAGTGAGGCGGGGAGGGCCGTGGCGGGGCAGAGCATGGCTTGGGCATGGGCAAGGGCAGGCTTGGACTGTGTGTGTGGAGGGGGAGGGGCATAGAGTGTGGCTGTAGGACTGGGGTGAGCTGGACTGGGGGCAGGGGGTGGGTGGCCTGAGCTCCGTCCTGTCTGCAGATCCCCCAGACCCTCCAAAGCTGTCAGCCCTCCTGGACGTGGGCCAGGGCCACGTGGCTGTGTTCATCTGCACTGTGGACAGTCGGCCCGTGGCCCGGCTGGCCCTGTTCCACGGGGAGCGCCTCCTGGCCACCAGCCTGGGGCCCCTGCTCCCATTCCATGGCCGCCTCCAGGTCAAAGCCACAGCCAACTCCCTGCAGCTAGAGGTCCGAGACTTGAGCCTTGGGGACTCTGGAAGCTACTGCTGTGAGGCCACCAATGTCCTCGGATCCACCAATACCTCCCTCTTCTTTCAGGTCCGAGGTGAGTGTCAGTTCTCTATGTGGGTAGGCCCACATGCCCTGGGGGCTGCTCTAGCCAGGCTTTGGGCTGGGTCATGTGGATTTTGGGTAGAGATGTGAGTCTTTTTCAGCCGTGGTTAGGGGAGTTTCTAGCCAGCCAGCAGGCCTCCCTTGGTCTCCAGCTAGATATTTTCCCCTGTAATCGCTGTGGCAACCACTAGAAGGCAGCGGCTATCGCCCGGCATGGCTGGCTTGCTTGGAGCGCTTGCAGAAACTTCTTTTATAGTAATACAATTTTGTTATATAACAAGAATTTTTTTAAAAGATTTTATTGATTTATTTGACAGAGAGAGACACAGCGAGAGAGGGAACACAAGCAGGGGGAGCGGGAGAGGGAGAAGCAGGCTCCCCGC